TTATGATTAAATCTTCTAAATAACTAGTCATATTCTTATAGTAGTTTTAATATTATTGAGTCCGGCCATGATCCCACCGCCATATTGGTATTATCGTTAGCCACGCCTACCTACGCCGTTTTTAATACACACGTTTATATGCTCATAGCTTCTCCATAGATTCTAACTCGATGACTGTATCATATTGTTGTAAGTCATAACTTTTAAGTCAAGATTACTGTGTTATGTGATAATGAACACACAGTGTAGTGTTTATATTTTTTATTTTCCTAGTAAAACAATTTTTTTGTTTTGTGTTACAAAATTAAATTCTATAGTTTGAGTTCAGTTCCTTCCCCAACCCTCTTCTTGCACGTCCTGAGTGTGTCTTGAATTTTCGTTTTTGATCCGTAACGCAGGATCCTAAATAAATTAGTACGGTATAGCTACAGGATGCAGGCATCCCAAATACCCTATTTGGCTGCCAGGTATCCAATCAATTTAATTTGTAAATAATCTGGACCAACTTTCCCTCCCCAACCCGTTCGTTGCCCTCACTCGTTGTGTTATATCGGATTTGTAAACAAACTGCCTAATTGAATATGGGTGGAACGTCGAATGTAGGTTTATTCGGAGTATTCCTGGCGACCGAAATCTAATGCAGGGATGCAAGTGTTTAATCTTTAAAGGGAATATTTGAATTGCAGTACTTAGGATTAACGAAATTTTATAGATTGTTTCATAAGGAAATGAATATTGATATTGAAGTAGAGATTCTATCTGTACTAAAGGTAGATAAATATATATAATTATTATTTAAAATCCTTTATAGAAGGTATTTAATTAAAACACCCAATTGGGCTACATCACAAAACGTTTTTGGAATCTATATTCCATCATCAGTTTGTCCTAAAAGCATATAACCACTTTAATTAACGAAAATATGAAATTTAATTGGTTAATACTTATCAAGTGTAATGTTTTAAGCCATTAAAATATATTCATTAAGCACGTGGTGTTCTTGTGTATTAAGGTATAAAAAAGCGCTTATAAAAAGCTTAAAATTTTTATTTTAAAGAAGATCTTTTCGGAATTGTATCATTCCATCATCAGTTTACTAAAAGAGAGAGTAAAAATACCAATATTAAAAACAAGAAAGTTAAAATTTAAATATACAAAAAGAACAAGTTGGTTTTTTACTACTTACATAAAAAGTTGTTGAAAAAAACATTGTATGGCCACATAAAAAACATTCGGTAGACATCTGGATTTAAAAAGTAATCTTCATGTTATTTATTTAGGTAAATGCAATAGACTCTTAAATTGTGTATTAATAAAAAATGAAAATGGGGGCATCTTATATGACCCCCTGTAGCTGGTGAGGTTTTATCGGCTTACATTACCTCTGATCTGTGTTGGAGTCTAGGGCTAACTGATAGAAAGATGGTATGAAAAATCAGTTAGTACCCGTCAATGTCAAGTGGAATGATGTAGTAGGAGCAAAAGTCATTGTGCTTAAGTTTGTGAGTAGGCAGTTTTTAGTGAAGAATTGTGTTTTGTGTGTAGTAGGATCATTAGCAATTTTTGGTATTTTAAAAACAGGTGGGAGAATGTAAATCAATGAGTGACTGCGATGTAAAATAAATTGGTATACCAAGGTAAGGAAAAATTTTAATTTAGGTAGTTAAAATTAATAAATCATTTTAAATGCGATAAAAAGAATGTTATTACCTAATTGTTTCATTGTATGAAGTAAGTATAGATAAAAGTTGGATTGAAATTTATGGAAGATGAGTCGAGGAAAAAGAAAAAGAAAAAAGAAATAAAAGAGAAAGCAAGAAAAGGAAATAGGAGGTGAATGTAACGATGTAAGCTGGGGATATTGAAACTGATTGTGATAAGAAATTGATAGATGTAAATGACTATGGATATCTCCACTTCATGGTTTGTTCCAGTTTCACTTTTTAAAAATTTAAAAAATAATATATATATATATTAAGCTCTTCCCATTTATTTTCCCAGGAGATATTTTTGGCTTTGGTTACATAATTGTTTACTTCTCTGTTTAATCTTGAATATGGTCTATCAACTGGTTTCTTTAATATGAAACGATTTTTTTTCAGATTAGTCTTATTTCAACCTGTTTGACTATAATACTAGTAGCTGGTAACAAGTCAAAATATAATATTATTCGAAAAATATACCGCTCATAAATAAAAAAAAACTAAGAAAAATATACTCAAAAGCTGTATTGGAGAATTTGGACATGGATTAAGAAATGAAAGATGAGATTTATTGGTTAACTACCTAGCAAACAACAAATTATTTGCCATGAACTCTTTCTTCAAGAAAAAGCCACATAGGAAATGGACGTGGATGTCGCCAGATGGGAACACTAAAAATGAAATTGACTACATACTAACAAACAAAAAGAACATTTTCAAAGACGTCACAGTAATAAACTCAATCTATACTGGTAGTGATCACAGAATGATACGGGCTAAAATAAGTATTAAACGAAAAAAAGATTGAAGACAATATGTGCACTCTAAGAAAAAAGTCTACCCAGAAAAGTTAAAGAAGAAAAAAGAATAATACCAAAACAAATTAAAAACAGCTGAAGAACTATAGCAAACAGACCTAAACCTAGATCAAGTAAACAAAGCCATCACTGAAGAACTTCTAAAGACTAGCTTCGAAGTAACACCAGCAAAATCAGACAAAAAATCAAAACTAAGTGCCATATCTTTAGACATGCTATAACAACGGAGAAGCCTACTACAAGAAAATAAAAGAAATACAACTGAATACAAAACCCTTAATACAGAAATAAGAAAACATATACAACAAGATCTCAAACGTCATCAAGAAAAACGAATCGAGAAGATATAGAAGAAAACAGAAACTTAAGATCTATCAAGTCCCACCTAGGAAGAAATAAAATCATAGAGATGGAAAATAAACAAGGTGTAATAGAAAAAAGCAGAACCCAAATATCTAAGAAAACAAGGGAATATTATAGTGACCTCTACAGCTCTAAAAACAGTCCACCTGATACAACTCAACAAAACCTGAAAAAGAAAATAACGAATGTAAACTCTAAAATATTAACCCCCATAACCGGAGAAGAAATAGAAAAAGCAATTAGAGATATGAAAAGAAATAAGGCTCCGAGAGACAATAAAATTCTAATTGAAATGTTAAAAGAAGGAGGGGAAAAGATAAAAGACTACCTAAAGACACTTTTCAATAAATGTTTGTTTGAAGGACAAATACCGCAAGAGTGGAACAAGGCAAATACAATTCTGATATATAAGAAAGAAAATAGATCAAAATTAGCTAACTATAGACCAATATCTCTCTTGTCACAAATCTATAAAACTTTCACTAAGGTGATCACAACTAGACTAAACAACAAATTTGATGCATACCAACCAGTTGAGCAGGCAGGATTTAGAAAGGGTACAATACAACCAACCATCTTCACAGTCTTAAAATATTGATAGAAAAGACCAACGAATACAACCTTTCAATATACCTAGCGTTTGTTGACTATGAAAAAGCGTTTGACAGCATAGAACTATGGGCAGTGGAAGAAGCGCTAGTTAATTGCCGAATAGATTTACGGTATAGAATGTTAATCCACAATATATATCAAAACGCCACTATGAGAATTCAGCTAGACAGAGATTTGCAAACTCCATTAATTAAAATTTGTAGAGGTGTCAGACAAGGGGATACAATCTCACCCAAACTATTTACTCTGGCGTTGGAAGACATTTTTAAATCTATAGACTGGGACAATAAAGGGATTTGTATAAACGGGAAATATTTAAATCATCTAATATTCGCAGATGATGTACTCCTGATAGCAACAACTATGGAACAACTACGAATAATTATTTCAGACCTAGAAAAAACATCTTTCGAGAAAGGACTAAAAATGAATCTAAAGAAAACTAAAATAATGACTAATACAGAAGACAGATCAGTAATTACCATAGGTGGAACAAACATAGAACACGTCCAAGAATATATTTACTTTGGACAAGCTATCAGAGCAGACAAAAGTAACCAGACTAAAGAAATAACCAGAAGAATAAGAATGGGGTGGGCTGCATTTGGAAAACTCTCATATACTATCAAAAACCAAAAAATACCTTTAAAATTAAGAACGAAGATATTTAATGCATGCATCCTACCTGTTCTGACACATGGTGCCCAACCGTGGACGTGTACCAAGAGCAACTTAGATAGAAAACTTAAAGAGCTATGGAAAGACAAATGTTGGGAATATCGTTGAGAGATAAAAAGAGAAACGAGTGGATAAGATGCAATACCGAAACAACAGACGCTGTCGAACATGCATTAAATTAAAATGGAAATGGGCTGGGCATAACGAAAGATATCAGGATGGAAGATGGAATAAAGAAATTGGCCGCTGGAGACCATATACTGCAAAAAGGTCAAGAGGTCAAGCGCAAATGAAATGGAAAGATGACATTGAGCAAAGCGCAGGTCAATGTGGAACAGACAAACAGAAGACAGAGACAAATGGAGACAAATGGGAGAGGCCTATATTCAACACATGAATAGATTTTGGGCTATAGATAGAAATACCGCTCATAGAAGAGAAAATTATCAATTTTCAAGTACTTAACCAAAATTATAATTAGTTATTTGTAACAAAAATTAGTTTTTTGGCACTTTTGTCTTCTTAAAGTACTGGAGAGTATCAAGAAATGCCTTTACGGTCTTGAGCTCAATGAAGGAAAACTCCCAGTCTGCACCTCCACGTGGTAGAAGATGGGCAACACTTAAGTAGTTAGCTTAGGTGGCTGACGCAGATGGGGACCGAGTGTTTGCCGGTATAAGCATTTAACGTTATTCTCAATAATAACGCAAGGGCACCCTCTTATCCTGGGGAGGAGAAATCGTCCCCGAAGGCGGATGAACGATATCGCGTCGTCAACGGCATAGGATGCGAAAGGCAAGTAGGAAAACCATCGCATCAAATTCCCAAAATAGTTAATATGGCAAGTCAAAATCAATACATGGCCCCTAGTGCCCGACAGGCGTTCAATCGTCAAGGGGTGCTAAGAATCCCCGGGAGGAAACTTAAAATTGCTACGTGGAATGTTAAGACATTGTATAGAGCAGGCAAATTAGCAAACGCTGAAAACGAGATGAGACGAATGAAGTGGGACATACTTCAGGTACAGGTAGGGCAATCAGGTATAGGAGTGCTGGTAACAGCATCCATGAAACAACACACGAAGGGTTTTCTACCAGTCAGCGACAGAGTAATGATCATCAAATTAAATGGACAACCATTCGACATTAATATAATACAGGTATACGCCCCGACAGCAGACAGCACAGATGCAGATCTTGAGATTTTCTACTCCGATATTAAAAAGATTAAAAAAACACATAAATTCAGATGACATCAACATATTTATGGGAGATTGGAATGCGAAGGTAGGAGCAGAAAAGGTCGAATCGATCATCGGCCCATACGGTTTAGGAACGAGGAATGAACGAGGCATACGCTTTGTTGAATTTTGACAAGAGAACAACTTGGTAGTTCTTAACACATGGTTTAAATTACCAAAAAGACGTCTGTATACGTGGAGGTCTCCTCAAGATTGCGAAGGAAATATTGTGAGGAACCAAATCGACTACATTACAATTAATAAAAGGTTCCGTAATGCTATTCTAAATGTAAAAACGTACCCAAGCTGTGAAATAAATTCAGACCACAATCCTATAGTTGCAACTGTCAGAATAAAACTTAAAAGAGTAGGCAAGGCTAAACCGAGTCAGAGAGTAGCATGGAGTAGTGCTGGCCCGGGACAAAAACATATGTATAAAGACATGGTAGACACGCAGTTAGAATCTAAGACATTAGCTTTCACTAAAGAGAAGACAATAAAAGAAAACATTAAAGACATGTGGGGAAAAATTAAAAATACTGTCCTGAAGGCAGCAAACCAAAATATACAGAAAGAAAACCGTAAACAAAGAAAACCATGGATGACAAACGAAATATTACAAATTATGGAGAGGAGACGGATGGTAAAAAACAAAAACCTAACAAGATACAAAGAGCTTAACAGGGAAATTGAGAGAAAGATAAATGTAGCTAAGGAAGAGTGGATGAAAGAAAAATGTAAAGAGGTAGAAGATCTGCAAAGGAAGCATAAAGATAGAGAATTACACAGAAAGGTGAAAGAAGTCGCTGGGATATGGAAGACCCAAACATTTATCTATTGTAACAAACACGAAAAACCAAATGGAATTAGACCCTGAAAAACAGAAGGAAATATGGGAACAATATCTTAAAGATTTGTTTGGTGATCGGAGAGCAGAAGGGCCCCCACAAATAGATACCGATGGAAAACTAAGTATTCTAACCGAAGAAGTTATGCGGGCAATAAAAGACGCAAAGAACAACAAGGCACCCGGCGAAGATCTAACAACAGCCGAACATTTTAAACACCTGAGTGATGATGCTGTCGGGAAATTAACCTACCCTCTTTTAACATTATATATGAACATGGCACTCTACCGCATGACTGGCTAACATCCACATATGTAGCTCTTCCTAAAAAACAAAAAGCAAGGAAATGTGAAGACCATCGAACTGTATCCCTAATGAGTCATGCTGCTAAGATTTTTATGCGAGTAATTTATAACCGCATTCACAATAAGTGTGAAGAATACCTGAGTCGTTCTCAATATGGTTTTAGGAAAGGTACAGGCACCAGAGAAGCAATAATGGGATTGACACTAATGGCAGAAAGGTATCTCGAGGTTCAAAAACAGCTGTATGTGTGCTTTGTCGATTATAGAAAGGCCTTCGACCGCATTAGACACGAAAAATTGATTGAGGTGCTAAAAGAAGTAGGGCTGGACGGACACGACATAGCTATAATAAGCAATACATACTGGAACCACACAGGATGTGTTCGAACAGACAACGGAAATACCAATTATGTAAACATAGAACGAGGAGTGCGTCAAGGGTGCATTCTGTCCCCTCTTCTATTTAATGTCTATGCCGAAAATATCATCAGAGCTTCTCTTGAAGATCGCCCTGAAGGTGCCAGAGTCAATGGAATCATCATTAACAATGTAAGATATGCCGATGACACCGTAGTATTAGCAGAAACAGAAGACCAACTAAAAATATTGATGAACATACTATCAGAAGAAAGTCACAGACTAGGTTTGGATATTAATCTTTCCAAAACCAAAATCATGGTATTCCACAAGAACCCCCATGAACAAATTACACCCAACATACAAATCAATGGTATCACCCTTCAGAGCTCCCAAAGCTTCATATACCTGGGCAGAGAGCTAAACAGTCAGCTAGACCACTCAAAAGAAATTAGAAGACGTATTGAAATAGCAAGATCTGGCTTCATGAACATGCGTAAAATGCTCTGTAACCCCAAGCTATCAATCACAATAAGGTTAAGAACACTAAAGTGTTATGTGTGGTCTCTACTACTATATGGCTGTGAGACCTGGACATTAAAACAGTATGACGTCAACAAACTGAATTCATTCGAAATGTGGATGTACCGCCGAATGCTAAGAATAAGCTGGACCAGCAAAACTACAAATGAAGAGGTACTGGAAATAATGAACACACGACCTCATCTGGTTAATACAATCAAAATTAGAAAGACGTCATATCTAGGACACATAATGCGCCATAAGGAATTTGAGCAGCTCCAGGTAATATTAGAAGGCAAAATCGAGGGTAAAAGGGGTATAGGAAGAAAGAAGAAATCCTGGCTCCGAAACATCAGAGATTGGACTCACACAACAGGAAATGACTTAATCCATCAAGCCCAGAACAGAGAGAAATTTGCCATATTGATCGCCAACCTCAATAGAGGAGGCACTTAGGAGAAGGAGGAGGCGCTTTTGTGTTTACCTTTGCGATTGACAAAAACATAAATATATCTTAGGTTAGATTTTTAGTTACACAACAACAATAAAATCAGTGATGTTACGTGTACGCAACAATGACTTTTACACAAATCTGTATTAAAATTTTAAATAATCTCTGTCATGTATTCGATTAAGACTGGTTCATTTTGTTTATAAATTTTGCGCCTGTTTTAGTATATCTACAACAAGAATTTCATGAAATATTGGACAAATCTATATCAACTATGTAAATAGTTATCTCCATGTCTTGAATAAATCCTAATCTCTTGCTAAAGTTCACGGTCTAGCGGGTCACACCAGAGCTCGTTCCAGTAAGGATGTCGACAAGCCAACCTAACCTGACTAACTATAAAATATGGGTAGCGTAAAACAATCCATTTCGAGCATCGAGCAGAGCCAGAGAGGGAACCTCTTAATTTTATTTCTTGTAACTAGTTAAAGGAACGGCACTTAACTTTTCCTGAAATAAATCTCGACGATACGGTCTTGCCTCTCAGAATGAGATTGAGTAATTCGTAATTTGGGCTAAAGTGGAGGTAATGAAATTTTGCTTGTGAACAGATTTACCCTACTTTCTGGTAAGTGTTATATAAAGACCATTATGAAAATTAAAAAATCATTAATGACGAAGGACTAAAATATTATTTACATCCTAATATTATATAATTTAGAAGATTGCCAGAAAAAAACGAAAACAAGCAACGAAACTGGATATTGCGACTTATAATGTCAGATCACTGATGAAAGACGAAAAGCTAGCCGAACTGGAAGAAGAAGTAAAAAAGATGAAATGGGATATATTAGGATTAAGTGAGATAAAAAGAAAAGGGGAAGCCTGTATGAAGTTGGAATCCGGGAATGTACTATACTATAAAGGAACTGAAGAAGAATCATTAGCTGGTGTCGGTTTTCTTATTTCTAATCAGCATGTCCATAAGATTAGACAATATATTGGAATTTCAGAAAGGATTGCGGCTCTAATAGTGGACATAAATAAAAATATAAGTTTAAATATCATACAAATTTACGCCCTACATCATCATGTACGGATGAAGAAGTGGATATATTCTACGAATCATTGACACAAACAGTGAACAAATACAAAAGCACCTACACAATCATTATAGTCGGCTTCAATGCCAAATTAGGGAGAAAACTAGAAGAATCAGAAAATAAAATCGGCAACTTTAGATATGGAACACGAAACGAAAGAGGAGAAACATTAATGAACTATATGGAAACGAACGGTCTATATGCGATGAATACCTTTTTCAATAAAAAACCACAGAGAAAAGGGACGTGGGTCGTGCCCAATGGTTTAACAAAAAATGAGATTGATTACATCCTATCCAAAGAAAAGTGCATAGTACAAGAGGTTACGGTCATAAACATGATTTCGTAGGAAGTGATCACAGAATTGTTAGAGCCAAAATCAAAATTAACTCCACAACAGACAGACAAAAATTTAAACCATCTAAAAAAGAGATAGATACAGAACTTCTTAAAGAACGCAAAGAACAATACATAAACCAGCTAAAAAGAAGTGACATATCACAGCTAAAGGGTCTGCAACTAGACGAATTAAACGATACAATAACAACAGAACTACTAGAAGCAGGCTTGAAGATTGCTAATAAACAAAAGCGAAAACAACAAAAAATTAGCGCTAAATCACAAGATATGCTAAAAAAACGACGACAACTACTGAATGATAACAAAAGAAATACAGTGGAGTATACCGAACTGAATAAAACCATAAGAAAACAGATAAAGAACAAAAGTTTAAAAACAATGAAGACAAATATAGGAAAAAGAAAACTAATCATGCTTAAAGCTGAGAACAATGAAGAAAGAGATCTAGGAGAAATAGTAAAAATCACAGAAAGATATTACACAGATCTATACAGTTCTAAAAATGACCCACCACTATCATCTAAACAGAATCTCACGAGGAAAATACAAAATGTTGGCTCAGAGGTATTACCAGAAATAACTGAAGATGAAATCGAAAAATCCATAAACGACATGAAAAGAAATAAAGCGGCCGGTGAGGACAAAATACTGGCGGAAATGCTAGAAGAAGGAGGAGATACGATAAAAAAAATGCTAAAAATACTGTTCAACAAATGTCTGTTTGAAGGTAAAATACCCAAACAATGGAGAAATGCCAACACAATCTTAATACATAAGAAGGGAGACCGAACAGACCTAAACAAACTACCGTTGTTTAGTATCCTGGTGTACCTGGACGACAAATTAATAACGGATAATATAAAAGTTAAACGAGGAGTCCGACAAGGCGATATAATTTCACCTAAACTGTTTACCTTGACCCTCGAAGACATAATAAAATCAACAGATTGGGAAAACAGAGGAATATGTATTAACGGAAAATACCTAAATCACCTTAGATATGCGGATGATATACTCCTGATCTCCTCGGAACGACAAG